ACAGGGATATGATTATATTTCCGTTGTGTCATGGACTTGACATCGGTAGTCACGAGAGTGACGGGCGCAGGAGACGCGCACGATCGCATGTGATGCGATGGCCAACGTCACGCGGGTGACGGGCGTGGATTCGCCCCTGGTCATGGACTTGACCAGGGTATACGGCTAAGCCCTATGGTGGACTCCATACGGGCGTGATTGTGATTGCTATTTGCGTGCTTACCGTGTTTTTACTTGTTGCATGTGTTTTCTTATGGAAATGTCGACTGTACCGTTCTCGTTGGGAACGGGAGTTCTGGGTTCAACCCGGGCTACTCACTAAGCAGTTGTGCTTAGCCCTCGTGGTTTACATTTTTCAGATCACGAGGATTACGCCTAGCGCATCCGGCAGACGACGACTTGAGAGAGGCAGCATCATGTACGGGATTTACATTTTGGGTTACGAGACTTGTGTTTCCCGCATTTTGTACGGCTAAATTATCACTATTCGGACATGTGTCAGTTTGCGATACTGATCGCCTGTTGTATTTTCCGCTGCTTACTCTGGTTTATTTAAAATGTTTTTGGATTTCGTATTTTTGCTTCCGCATTATTATTATTTTTATTACTATTGTCCATGTGGCACAACCCGTATACTGTACACGGGTTACGGGTGTCACAGCATCTCTGCCTCAGGTTCCCATGTCATATCGGAGACCCCTTGGCTTCGCCATACCACCTTGACGAGTGGCACCTCCTTGGTTCGCACCTTTTTGATCTTCTGATCCACGATCTGCAGTGGCTCGTCCCGGAAACGCATAGCACTAGTGAACTCCAATTCTTGTGGTTGTATCATGTAGGAAGGGTCTACCACATATTTTCGTATCATTGATATGTGGAATACGTCGTGAACGTTGTCCAACTCTGATGGTAGTCCAAGACGGTACGCCACAGCTCCTACCTTCGCGATTACCGGGTAATGACTGATGTATCTCGGGTTCAGTTTTCCACCTTGTCCAAACCTCGCATGTCCTCGCATCGCCTGAACTAGGAGGAAGGCTCGGTCACCCACTTCCAGAGTAAAGTCCCGCCTCCTCTGATCCGCATAAGATTTATGCCGATCTTGCGCGGTCTTCAGGTTAGCTCGAATCTTTCGAATCACCTCCGTTGTCTCTTCGACAATCTCTAGTCCGAATCACCTCCGTTGTCTCTTCGACAATCTCATTCTAGTGCATCCGATTCATCCATGTACCCCCTACCTAGAAGCTCATCAGGAGCCGCCCATTGTCCGTGTCTCTGCATCGACGATCACTCTCCGCCCTTCTACGGTACTCTGGGTTGTCACAGGCCCACCAGCTTTCGCCTAGTTCGTCCTCGAATCACACCGTACAGGGAGAGTACCGGTTCTGATACCAAAAGTTGTGACGCCCGAATCTTGAATCCCATAATCAGGATGCGACACGTGGATAGATCACAAAACTCATATATAACATAAAATACGGGATTTTTAAAACATTTTAAAATATCAATACACGCAGCGAAAAAACATTAATACAAACATTCGAAAGTATTTCATATCCGAAATTGGAACCGAAATCAAAACAACGTAATGATGGGATCAGTATCCCCTATCCAAACTATAGTTTTAAACTCCGCACATGTAGTGTAGCCTCGGTAGTCGTCGATTGTGTTGTTACTCGTGCTCCTCGAGATCTGAAAAAGATTCAACAATGGAGGGCTAAGCATAAAGCTTAGTGAATGGCTCGGATTGAGCCCGGAAATCCCGTTCTCATGGAAAATGATGCCAACTAATATTTCTATACAAGAATTTTCATTTTATATTTAATCAATTCACACATTATTCCGATTTAATTATTCATTACAATTATACCCTATGACCACCGTCATAGGGTTGATTCATGCATCACTGATGTACGATAGTACTGACTCAATTCGTCTACTGGTACCATCGTATGTCCCCTTGTCTTACCCAGTACTGACTCCACATCGTCTACCGGTACTAGGTTCGACCCGATTCTCTGTGATAGCACTGGCTCAATTCGTCTACCAGTACTAGAACAGAGACGTCCACTCAAACATCAGTACTGACTCCACGCCGTCAACCGGTACTGATGTTACACTTTTGTAATAATACTGACTCCACGCCGTCAACCAGTACTATTACAGAAGCGTCCACACAAACCAGTATTGACTCAATTCGTCCATCAGTATTGGTATAGCAACCATCCATATTTTGCACAATGCACTAGTACTGACTCAATTCATCAACCGATACTAGATATTTCGTCCCCCTCATCCTAATGCTGACTCCACTTCGTCAACCGGCACCAGGTATGAGGTTTGTCCATTGTACAAACACATACATACATGTTTTTCCTTTTTATTCAAGTTCGGTTTTCTCTCAGTAATTTAGTTTTCACACTCTCTTCGGTTTGATTTTCATTCTTAATCTCATAAATTCTCTTGTTTCCCGTATTAACTTATGAATTTCCTTTCTTTTGATTTATTTTTATTATAACTTCTTTTATTAAGTCTCAATTGAGTCATTCCATTTAGTTGAACCGGTCCGACCGGAACCTTGGTTTATGGGTCTTTATGTTCTAGAATCATTTGGGTCGAATTATCCGATTTTTGTTACTAAACCGGCACAATCTGTTGTCAAATCGTCCGATCTAGATAAGTACTTTGGTAAGTTTCATTTCTATGCCTGGACCGGTCGATTTGTTCACCGGATCGGTCAGTTCAAGGGGTGTGTTCTTAAATCATTATTTTTTATGTCCAGATTTTTATCTGTTTTCTACGCCAATTGCTACTCATTTATTACTAAACATCAGTAGGTTCTAAATCTTTGCAGAAATACTAATCTACACCATTAAACATGAGAAATGAATCTCACAAACTCAACTCAAAACCACTCACTATGTTTTGGTCAGATTTTGTACGTCGGTTCTTGGTCTTGTGTGTCTCAAAACTCCACGCACGTTGATTACTCTCTTCCCCCTCTCTTTCTCTTCTACTCTCTCTCTGTCCAAAATCGACTGAATTGAGAGATTGTCGTTTGGTTTTCCTAGGCTTAATGCTACGGTTTCCACCATAGCACTATCCTAGTTCTAGGACTATGCAACAGAAAGATAAATTCATAATTTATTAATCCTACAGGAAAACACTAAACTCGAAAAGAGATACTAATCTTAAACGGCGAGACTGAACCTGCACCTCTAGAAGATGCCACAAAAGGCAACGCCCTCTACGGTATCTACACCGCGAGTAGATCCAACAATTGGATGGCCTGATAAGGCCTAAAAATTTATCGCTAGTCCGGAGAGGTTCCCGAGAGCTTATGGTCGTATTAGACTTCTTATAAAGCTCTCTAGATCCCCTATAGGACTTAGGACTTGGTATGTTGAAGTCTTGGACCAAACTCCCCTTATATAGAGTTCCAAATCCTTGAAAATGGGTAGAATTTTCGATGTGGGATTTTTGCTCGATTACTATTCACGGTACTATTCATTGACACTATTCATCAACACTATTCACGGTTACTATTCACTGATACTATTCATTGAACTATTCATGATTACTATTCACCGCTTTACCAATTTATAACTTCGACCGAGTTTCCACATCGTTTCATATATTTCGGTTGAATTAATAATTCAACCAAATTTGACCAAATTCGCACGAGTTTCTTTTACTCGATCGAATCGATTCTCCGTCACTTTAGACCATTATGTCCGACTTTCCAGGCTGACCAGTCTGATTTATTTTTGTGTCTTTTTTATCCGATGTTATATCTTATATTTAAACCAATTACATATCCCGACTATTTAATTATTATCTTTGAAAATAATTAAATATTGAAATCAGATTTCGGGGTATTACAAACCATTCCCCCTTAAAATGAATTCGTCCCCGAATTTTGATCTATTTAGTGTAACGAAAACACTTCTGTAATACCCTGATTCCCGAATAAATTATTTAAATTAAATTCGGGAACAGAATAGGGTAAAACAAGTCTAAAATATAAGATGATTGGCATAAAAATCGAACCAAGGGATCAACGGGACTAAAACGCGTCGAAAACGTCGGAAAAACGAAAAAAAAATGGGCTAGACCGATCGGTCCATAGGTAGACCGACCGGTCCAGCGAGAAACAGAGAAAAAGACGAAAATTTGGCCAAGACCGACCGGTCCAGAGAGCAGACCGATCGGTCTGCACGTTCAAGAGCCAGACCGGACGGTCCGGGGCTAGACCGACCAATCTAGGCGGACGACAGCACCAGGCTGTCTGCAACATCTTTTGTCATGACTTTTGACGACCCTGCGGTGCCCCACCTGCCGTCCCCGCCCACGAGCTACGTGTGGGAGACACCAGCTCACTGCCAGCGACGTCCCCTCGTCCTCTAGCTCACCCACGAGCCTCTAAATGCGTCCCCAAAACTCCTCCTCAGCCATTTTTCGAGCAAAACCTACAGAGCCAGAAAGAGAAGAAAGGGAGAGATTCAGCGAGATTTGAGGCGAAACCAGTTTGGGAAAACAAAGAGGGACACCTCTAGGAGGGCCTGGAAGATTTCACGACCAGAGACAGCCCGAAGAACGCACACGAGCTCGGACAAAATCTCACCTTACAGAAATCCGAGGTGAGTGGTTTGGATTGTGTTTGTGAGATTCTATTTTCATGATTTATGGTGTAGACTAGTGTTTCTACAAGAGTTAAGGACCTAGGAATGATATATATTGAGTGGGTAACAATTAGGACTGAAATCGGATCTAAATCTGGGCAAAAATGGCGGAAATCGGGATGAACCTCGCGGAGAAGACGAAGTCCAGGTCCCAGACCGACCGGTCCAGTGACTGGACCGATTGGTCTGGTCCACGGACAGAACGAGCGGACTGGAGAGATCTGGACTGTTCGGTCCATATGGTCCTAGACCGATCGGTCTAGGACTGGACCGACCGGTCTAGGTCACGGATTAGGAATCGGTCTGAAAATGACCTAGACCAACCGGTCTATTCCTAGACCGATCGGTCTAGGGGTAAAAATTGGAGTTAAACGATTTAAATGCCTAGACCGGACGGTCTGTCCCTAGACCGACCGGTCCAAGCAAATGAATAGTGACAAATCCCAAAATGGCTGGCTGCAACCCCGACCATTGATTCAAATGGATTAAACTGTAATACGATGTTAAATGGTAATCAAACGAACCAGGATTAAACGAGTATGTCGAACGAATATGAAAAAGGTAGAAGTGCGCATAAAGAAAGGTATTAATCCGCAAACCGAAGTGAAAACGAAGGATAAATCTAGAGGAAAACTCGGAAAGGGTAATATGGATATAAATGGTTATATATAATTATGATAAAGCATGTGATTGAATGAGTAATGGAACTCGTACTTAGTACCGGTCGACGACGTGAGTCAGTACTAGTACGGGGATGTGTAGATATGGAACTAGTGTCGGTTGACAAACTTGGAGTCAGCACTGGAGGATGTGTGGTTTCGGTAATAGTACCGGTTGACGAACTTGGAGTCAGTACTATTACCGAAATGTAATACCAGTACCGGTTGACGATGTGGAGTCAGTACCGGTGTAGTTGGGTGGACGTTTCCGTAACGGTGTCGATCGACGAAGTGGAGTCAGTACCGTTAAGGAAATGTGTAGTGAAGCCAGTACCGGTTGACGGCATGGAGTCAGTACTGGTGAATCTGAGTGGTCGTCTCTATAATAGTACCGGTTGACGAAGTGGAGTCAGTACTATTATAGAGAAGCAGGGTAAAGTCTAGTACCGGTTGACGAATTGAGTCTGTACTAGATGATACCGAGAGGAATGGTACCTGATAGTGCCGGTGGACGACTTCAGTCAGTACTATCAGGTATCAAAAATGTATGGAATAATGTTAATGTATTAAAAAGGATTAATGAGAAAAAGTTAAATGGATAAAAAAGGAAATTCTTGTATTGAGAGATTAGTTGGCACCGTTCTCCATGAGAATGGACTCTCCGAGCTCAACCCGAGCTGCTCACTAAGCATTTTGCTTAGCCCTCCGTTGTTGAATTTTTCAGATCCCGAGGAGCACGAGTAGCGCACTGTGGACGGCGACGACTTTGTGAAGACATCATTATGTACGGATAAATAATCCTATTTTGTACGTTTTGGTTTGTGGAACAAGGTTTTGCGTGGAATCGGTTGTGTTTAATTGTGTGTTTGGACAAGTGTTGTTTTCGAGGAACGTGTGATGATTTTATTCCGCTGCGTGTTTGTATTTAAAAACGATTTTAAATTTCCGTACTTTTGGTTTTATTATGTTTTATTGGTTTTCGTCCATGTGGCATATCCTGTTCACGGGATGCGGGATTCGGGTGTCACAACTTCCTTGCATTCCACAACAGTTCATTACAATAGTGTATCTTATATTCGCACTGTTACATTCTCCTAAACAAACAACTGAGGGTAGGTATTACGCATCTCTGTCTCGGATTCCCATGTCATATCGGGACCCCTTGGCTTCACTATACCACCTTGACGAGTGGCACCTCCTTGCCGATCCACGATCTGCAGTGGCTCATCCCGGAAACGCATAGCACTAGTGAACTCCAATTCCTGTGGTTGTATCACGTGGGAAGGGTCAGCCACATACTTCCGCAACCTTGATATGTGAAATACGTCGTGAATGTTGCCCAACTCTGATGGTAGTCTAAGACGGTACGCCACCGCTCCCACCTTTGCGATCACCGGGTAAGGATCGATGTATCTCGGCTTCAGTTTTCCGCCTTGTCTAAACCTCGCATGTCCTCGCATTGCCTTAACTCGGAGGAATGCTTGGTCTCCCACTTCCAGAGTAAAGTCCCGCCTCCTTTGATCTGCATAAGATTTCTGCCGATCTTGAGCAGTCTTCAGGTTAGCGCGAATCCGAATCACCTCCGTTGTCTCTTCGACGATCTCAGGTCCGAAAACTCTACGTTCTCCTATCTCGGTCCAACATAGCGGTGTCTTGCACGGTCTTCTATATAATGCTTCATACGGTGACACCCCAATGCTCGCATGATGACTGTTGTTGTACGCAAACTCGCACAACGTCAAGTATTGGTCCCATGGAACTCCCCACTCTAGTACACATGCTAGGAGCATGTCCTCTAGAGTTTGGATGGTTCGATCCGATTGACCATCTGTCTGGGGGTGATACGTTGTACTCATCTTCAACTTCGTACCCAATGCTCCATGTATTGTCTTCCATAGGCGAGATGTAAATCGAGCATCTCGGTCGGATATGATCTCGCTCGGAACTCCATGTAGTCGTATGATCTCATCGATGTACACATGTGTCAATCGCTCAATAGGGTATTCTAATAAAAAAACTATATATATATATATATATATATATATATATATATATATGTTATTATGTCATCATATATAGATAATTTGGCAAAAGAAAGAGTTATCAATTTTTCTATACGACGATGATAATAATAATAATAATAATAAACATTTGACCAATTTTATTAAATTAAAAATGAAAGGGAGGACAGGACAAGTGAAAGTTGGCAAAAGAAGAAGGGTTTGGTGAAGTCACTTGTCTCAATCCCATCGCCAATCGCGGAGTCGATGTTCATACACTTCCTGCCACTTTTATTTTCTTCTCTATTTGTTTTTGTTGTATCCTAATTTATTCCTGACCAAATGTGTTAAAAAAACTAATTTTGCAAAATTACAATATTATTTCTAAATACTGACAAATACGTCTAACCTATTTTACTCATTTTCTATTTTATCATCTTTCCCATTTTTCAAATTTTTTATATAAAATAATTATGGTAAGTCTCATTAAAACTATTCATTTTTAGAGTAAAATAAATTAGTCAATTTATAATAAGATGAAGTATCGTTAATTTATAGCTATGTCACCCAAACGGTATCCAATAAAATGTTGGCCAATATTGATCGTAAACTGGTATCAAACATGGCATTCTATGTCACATGCCATGCCATATTTCATTACCACATAACAATTTTCAATATTTCAAAAACCACAATAAACCTAATGGTGATGCTTGGGATTTTATTAAAACGGTTCAGATTAGTGAATCTAGACTGAAAGCCTAGCATGGTTTTTAAAATTTCAAAAATTGTTTACTAGTAATGAAATATGATGTGACACGTGATATGAAACGTCACATAGGATGTTACTTAACGATCAATATTAGTCGATAATTTATCTTAGTTAAAAATTTATAGTGACACTTTTTTTATAAATTGAGAAATTTATTTGACTTTAAAAGTTAAGACATTAGTTTTCCATCATTGTTTATGAGTTAATATATTTTAATAGAATTACCATTGTTTTTTTACATTTAAAATTTTCGTTTATTAGTACTGTTAACAAAATCAAAGATATAAAGATACAAGAAACTTATACCGCCATTAACATTCCTTCTTTCATGAATAGAACTTGTTAGTTTTTCCGTTTTACTTTTTGCGAATGCGATTTTTTTAGATTTGATAAATTTGATTATGTTATAATAAATTCTTAATTTGTTTTAAATGTGACCATTTGTTGATTTGATTATGTTGCGTTTACAATTTATAGTTTAGTATTGTTTGATTCACTCTATATGGCACTATAAAAAATACTAAATTTTTTTTATAGAAACAAATCATGTTAGGTCTAATCTAACATTGTATACAATTTGTAAATTTGTTTTTATTTTAGGATTTTATATATTTAGTTTTGATTTGATTAATTTTTTCAAAATTTTATGGTTTGAAAAAACTTCTCTTTGGTTTTGGTTGTGATGGAGTTCGTTTCTTCAAAATATTTTATTTTTATTTTATTTTTTGTTATTTCCGTTTTAATTTCGATTAATTAGAGTTTTAGTTTAAAAGATTTTTGGAGGTATCCATTTTTAGACGGATATATATTATTATTTATCCCCATAGAGAAGATAATCTACAATTAAGTTATTACAATAAGATCTTAAAGATATCGTCGTGAGGGATTCCACTTGACAATTAAGGTTTGTTGGTCGAAAGAAGAAGAAGAGTAAAGGTATTTAACAAAAAAAAAAAAAAAGAAGAAGAGTAAAGGTTTAAAAGCACTGTATTCTCTAAATTAGCGAAACCTTGATGTAAATGTTAAATATATATATATATATATATATATATATATATAATACAATATTCGTTCAGATCCCAATTTTTCATCAATTATAAATGACTTCAATAAATAAAAATATATAATGGTTGGGATAATTAAACATCGGTTATGTGGGGGGATTTTAAATTTAAAAAAAAATAAAAATAAAAATAGGTAAGAGAAGTGAGAAGCAAGTAAAGACGGCTTACAACTTTGTTAATGAAGACTTAGCTTTCAGCTGTTATAATGATTTGATAGATCTCTTGTCTAATTCCCTCACTTGTTGCCTCAAATCTTGAACAAAAGCTTAGCTTAATCGATACTGGTTTTGTTTTTTTTTTAATGTTTTGTATGTCCTTTTTTCATTTATTTAAATATTAAAAAGAGTATTCCCACATATACATATACATATATATATATATATATATATATATATTGCAATGTGATTAAATGTTTTTGCTGGATTGTTATTGTTCAGCCCCTCACTATTATCCTATGTGGGCTGTTGGGCCAGGCCCAGTTTTTCCCATCTCACTGTGTTAGAGACTAGAGAGGAAACACTTGAACGGGTTTTTAATGTTCGGTTACTTGAAACCCTCAATACTTTCTTCTTGATAAATCCACGTGTAATAGTCCGAAAGAAAATATTCTGTAAAGATGCTTAATGACGATCTCTAGACCAAACTCCATCGTCCGTAGGGAATATTACTCAAATAACCCACTTGGGTCGCAGCAATTTCAGTGTACACCACCGAAAAAAAAAAAAAATTTGCGACCTTATTACGACTAATATATAACTAATATACAACTTATTACGACTAATAAACTACTCTTATTTTAGTTGTATATTAGTTATATATTAGTCGTAATAAGGTCGCAAATTTTTTTTTTTTTTCGGTGGTGTACCCTGAAATTGCTGCGACCCAAGTGGGTTATTAGGATTAAAACCCCTCGTCCGTACACCTTGGAACACTAATACCAATTACTGCAGTAGATCTCATCAAAGCTCTACAGTTAAACGTGCTTAGATAAAAGTAATATTAGGATGGAAGAGATCACTGTGTTGCGAATACGCACGTGTTTGTGAGTAATATAAGTTGTTTTATACTCATGTGATTTTTTTTTTTTATGTTTTAGTATAAGATTTAGATGTGGTTGGGGAGAAAGAGATCTAGAACTATTAGACTGCATTAGTCATGCTTTTGCTCGCGTTTTTTTCGTTATCTATTTTGGTAACACTAATTTGTTACGAATTAGCGACGAGATTTCATCACTAATTGAAATGGTATAATGTTTGGTAACGTTCTTGTGATCATTGTTATTATATAAAAAAAATAGTAACGTTATTGTTTGGCAATACTTTTATACGTTTCGTAAAGGCAAAATATCCAAAATATCCTCATTTTGCTAAAACTATTTCTACACATACCCTCTTTCTAATGTGACCAGAATAACTGTATAGTCATATAGTGATCACATTGGTCACAACATTAAATTTATGATGATTCCCCAAATAATTAGTGTGATATATAAGAGGTGATCATGGTGATTTGGTGTGATCACCATAAATTTAACGTTATGACCAATGTAACAATCATATGACCATATAGTTATTCTGATCATATGGTCACATCTGGAAGAGAGTATGTATAAAATTAGTTTTAGTAAAAAGATGGTATTTTGGATAGTGCTCCTTTAGTAACCAATCGTCATTAATTTATAATGCCTTGGTTACGTTTTTTTATTATTATTATGTGACCATTTCGACGACAAAAGTGTTACCCGTCACCAATTTTGCTCGCGTAAGATTTGTGTGACAATTTTTCCGTGTTTTTTTTTACATTTCTTTCCGAATAGATAAAACGGTTTACTTACATTTGATTTTCAGCCATTTGTTAATTTATTAGGGTATCTTTTTAATAGAAAGGATCTTTAAGCAGCAAAAATCTTGTAAACTTTTTCCAGATTCGAAAGGAAAAAAATAATTTATAAATAATAGATTCTGGTGGACTTGTAAACAGGATAATTAAAATGATAGAATCTGTTGAACTTGTACAAAGAATATCCTCATAACAGATATGTTGCGATTTTTATTCACGTTGGAAAAGAAAAAATCTAAATGCATAAAGATCCATTTTTAATGGGTCGTATTTTTATAACTTTCAACCTGTTATTTTACAACCTTTGCTCGTACACATACATTGCAACAAAAATATAAATTCCAAATCAAAGGAGATCTCTTACTTCTATAAGCTTTTCCATTTTCTGCAAGTTGAAATTATATAAAGATATATTTTTTTGGGCAGAATATGCTTACCATAGATTATACCAAGAGACAGATCATACGCAAAACTTGTGCCATAAAAAAAGAAAGTAATGTATATTTTTGTAATGTTAATGTGAATTATTGATAACAGAGCAAAAAACCAGCTTTTCACCTTGGAAAATGATTCATTTAAAGAATCAAACGACAATTTTGTAAAAGAAAAATACCATATAATTTTATCAAATAATGACAAAGTATCAAATTATTAGAGAGATAGAGAGAGAGAGAAAATTCGCGATGATATGTCATGTGTTTCCATCTCAACATGAGTCCCGAGAAATGTAATAATTGACGGAAACGTCCACTCCAGGACCCGGGAGAAAACGCTGCGCAGGGGTATTTATGTAATTTAACATATTCGTATGGACATATCATGCATGTATGCATGCACAGCAACCCCCATCTCTCATGCTGCGGAGAAAAATGGATGAATATAAGAAGTTTTGGTCAAACCTTATTTGCCATCGTCGTCACAGTCTTCAATTCGATTCAAATTAGGAATTCTAGATATTACTTTTTTTTTCTCCAAAAAATAGAAAAAAAAAAGGAAACACAACGTAACAGCAGCTGTATATACATCCCTCTCTCTCTATATATGTGTATGTATACGTATATCCGAGTAGCGTGCGAGTAAACTCCTCCACCGCAACAGAGAGGGATAGTGGTGATCGGAAGAAAATGGGGAACAGTCAGCT